ATATATATATATTTTTTTTTTTTTTTCCCATAAAACGTGTTTTTAGAGAGTAGTTACTGTTGCTGTATTATTAATATTTGAAAATGTGCACGATTACAATGTTTGACGCTAACAAACTACTGATTCTATCATACAAATTATGAGTTTTCGTTTGAGCTCAAACACCCAAGTAAGTCTCAATAAGGAGCTCGAGTTGCAGATAAAGAATAAGAGTGCTTTTTATTCAAAGTCAGTAATATTCTGGATTTAGATATTGTTTCTGTTTTTTTCTTCACATGCCCCATAAAACCGGGAACTCCAATTTAATTGAAAGCAGGGGCACTCACACATTTTCCAGCATGACTGCACATTTTCCAGCATGCGAGCGACTTATAAAATGACCATGTCCAAATTAGGTACCTACTTTGTTTAAAATACTCCGATAATTATTTATTATGTCCAATATACCTGTATATTGCAACTGGTGTGTGACTGGCTGCCCTGTACGTCAATCAACAGATGATGTAGGAGGGAGTCTCCTATTTTTTTTAACTCATTCACTGCCATTGACAGGCAGCTAGATCAAAAGCATAAAAATGGGAGGGCTGGCAATGATCGAATTAATTCTATGAGAACTACTGGAACTCCCTTCGAGAGCTACTGGTCGCTCGTGATCTACTTAGTACTGATTTGTTGCTTCCTGTTGTATATGTTAGTTGCTCCATGTACAGCACTTTGTATGCAGCGATGGCTGTTAGAAAGTGCTCTATAAATACAGTTGAGTTGAGTTGAGAGTAATGGACAGCCCTGATTTAAAAATATTGCAGAAATAGACAACGTGAATTAGTTAAAAAGCCAATGAAACAATATTTCAATATATGGTAGTTATTTGCTCACGAACAGCTCGCATTGGATCAAGCTGTTAACTCCAATTCAGAAACATATTCTAGTGTGCCCGTGGTGTGTCTTGAGTTGACACCCAACCCAGAGGGTTGGGTGTCTCGATTGCCTTTTTGCACTATTCGTAATTCACTCCATAATATTGAATGCGCAGTAACTTTAAGGTGACAGAAATGGCACCCCTGACCTATTTACAAGCAATATTTTTGTAGGCCTTATTTTTAAAAAAATAATTCATAATCCAGGACACCTTAGAAAATACATGTTCTCTACTAATCCCACTGCCTCACCATTTGTACATTTTAATCAATTCTCATGAGTATATGTCTATTTCTGAGCATATGAATACAAATGTGGTTGTGAATACATTGTTGGTTGCGAATAAAATACACTGATGTCTTTTTGACAAAAGATCGCCTTGGTCCAAACTGTTTTAGGTCATGCACCTTGGTCAAATCTTTACAATAACTCAAACTTAAAATGCTCCGATGAGCTACGCCAGTACCCATATAATATTAAACCAGTTCATCTTCCCATTTTACATACACTTAAACATTTTTTTTGTAGATGTTCAACTATCCCATGCGAGTTTGTAGCCTGACAAGGACTACTCCCAAAGCCATTGAAAGAATTTTCATAGAAAGAATTGGACACTCATGACAACTGTAATTGTTTATTTAGGTATTAAGGCCAATCACAATAAGATACTCAGGTCAGTAGTATAGGATAACATTCCCCTAAAATTCCATTCAATAAGATTACGGTTTAAAACTCCCTGATGAAAATGAAAAAAACAGCTCAGACACAACCACTTTCTCAATCAGTCTGAAAACATCACCTCAAAAAAAAAAAAAAAAGAAGACATCTTCAACTTGTTCAGTGGAGTGCATTTTAGTTCGACACAAAAACAATTGCTAAATACTGTTTGATTGCAAAGCAGCAAACGTGCAGCATGGACAAATGCCTTTTGCAGTGTGGATTTGAAGTACTGTACCGACATGTGCATCTTCTTTTCTTATTTCGTACTCATTTGGCTTTGGCGAAGCCAACCCTGTTGTTCTCTCGATCAAACACTGTGTAGTACTGGCCGATGAAGACGTCTCCCAGAATCCACAGAGGGCCCGCTGGGGGAGGGATGTCCAGACCCATGAAGCCGCTCAGACAAATGGTCTTACCAGCTTGACTTTCCTGCAATTTAGAAGGTGACCACATCAGGGTGTGCTGCTCTTTTGGGATTTTGAAAATGAATGTGCCAGAATTTGGCAGAGAGCTTGTAACAGGAACGAGAAAAACAAAACAAGTGTAATCTCTCTGAATAACAAAGCTGCCCCCTCATGACTTGGTCAAATGCAACAAAGGATGCAACTGTTTGCTTTTTTTGGGTGACGTAAGGCTCTTTTGCTCATTCACAGAGTTGTATTGTTAGCGAGCAGGAGAGCCAATCTCTGTTGTCCCCTGCTGGACAAGAATGGCACATGCACTCACCTTGAGGACATACTGGTCTCCAGTCAGCTTGTAGGCCCGGCCGCCCACATTGAAAGTGATGACGGGAAGTGAAGGGATCTTATCACAGTTGACCATGTACTGAAACGGAAGGGAGAATGCTTTTTATTTTCCATACACAAACCTGCTCATCTGTGTTCGAATATACACTAACATTTATGATTACACATTATGATTTTGTACTTTTAAGTTAAATTCAACTGTGGTCTCCCGGTTTGAACACTGGGTGGCACCAACGTAATGACGGACATGACAAAGCAGAATTAGGAGGCAACGCAGTCTGACGTCATGCACTGTGTGCACAGCTGTAAATAGTCAATAAAACAACAAAAAACAAAAGAAATACAAGACTGATTGCTGAGAATACTACACACCCACCAAAACCGAATGTCCAGTCCAGGGCCATTCAGCGACCCCGGCCCATTGTGAAACTCTTTGCGGTGATCGGCTTTCAAATACTGTGATCACTAGCGCCATGAAGCAAGACGTGAACGCTCGTGACCCACTTTCTATCACTTCAATGACCAGCCAGCTATAATCTTATCACACCCACACATGAAACATGGCAACACTTTGCCCCTACGAGCTTTAACGCCACCGTTTACTCTTCAGTTTAAACGGTAGAGTCATAAGATTCCCAGTTAGCATTACACATTTCATTAATGAAGTCATAATGATGTTAATCCTTGTTATCTATGTGTGTTTGTGTTACTCGTATTTGAATGTGTGTCATATTTGTCAGATTATTATATTATGTTGTTTTTCTAAACAAACCATGACTTTGAGCGGTGTAAAATAGTGAGAGCCAGCTCAATTCCTGTGAAAAGCATGAATGTCAAATTTATAATGGGTTTATCAAAAAGGTTGACATGGATACATATTCTGATAGTGAAACAGCCGTAAAAGGGGCCTTTTGCGGCCTGACACTGGAAGCGGCCGTTGTGACGATGTCTTTGAAATAAGGCTTGTAATCGATGCCAATATCTGGTATCAGTCATCGCCCATCCCTAGAAATTTTATTACATAAACTGACTGCCATTAATCGCTCATTATTCAGACTATGAACTGGATGGCTTAAAAAAAAATAATCAAAGGACTAGGCGAGGCCAGAAATTCAATCGCACCTCTCCCTGGATGAGCGGAATAGCTCCGATAGCTTTTTGCAGAGCTTTGACCTCCTCAGACGGGCCGACGATCAGAGACGTTCCAGTGTCCACGATGGCTTCACAGCTGCCTTTGCATAAGCTCAGCTGGGTGCCCACTTGCAGCCTGAAATGCACACAACAGTAACATCCAACCGTCTTCTATCCCGCTGATAGAAGTCACATTCACATCAGCTGACAATTTGGAGTCTTGGAGTGAAGTTAACATGTGGTTCTGAAGCAAACGCAAGCAAGCATGGGCAGACCATGCCACGGTGCTACCCAGTAAATAACATGAGCAATTCAACACTTTACTGTGTTCAGCCAGATCTGAAAATGTCACAGACGAGATTACACATTACAGTTTTTGTCCAATAAAATTAACTACATTGTAATAAACCATGTAATCTGCCAACACCCTTCTTTGGGGTGCTGATAAAACAACTTTTCTCCTCTAACAACTCACGAGTCCATGCGGATCTGCCAGTAGGCTTGGCGGGTGACGTTGACATAGCTGAATTCACCAGTGTAGTATTTCGGGTCCGTTCCTCCCAGTAGCAGCTCGCCACCTGGCTCAGTGTCAGGGTTCCTAAAGAAGAGAAAGATGGACAGGATCCGAGATAAACTCTCATTACTTGCTTTAGTAGGCCGGGCAGAAATTTGGGCACCTCATAGAGCCCTGGCAGCTGGTCAAGAGTGACATGCTGTCCCCTATTAAAATTACAATTGAATACTTCCAATTTGTTGCTCCAGAGAAATATCATTTCAAAAGGGTTGCTTTCCCTGCTTGTTACAGTCAAAAACCACCAGGTCTGTTCCTCACCTGTTCAGAAAGAAGGAGAACACATTCTTTTCGACCTTCTTCTGGCTCATCATATTATCAAAGACTGGCGTCACACCATCCACGGAGATGCGTGGATAGGCCATGCCGAGGATTCCGTCAAACTTGGCGGCAATAAAAGTCAGACCGGGCTGCTTTATCGCTTCCCCAAAGAGCTGCTTCTCCACAGATAGCGTTCCAATCTACAAAAGGGAGGAAGCATACAAGATCTCGGGATTTGGTTTGTTTTCATTGCAATCTCGTTTAATGCAGCTGCATGAGTTGAGCTTACGGTGCACGTGTCCTGACTGAGGTAGCCCGACAAACTGCCGCTTCCGTACTGGATTGCAAAGTCAGTCCCATTTTTCACATACGT